GTACGTTTCGTTGTAGCATTCCTTCTCCCCACTGTGCTATCTGGCTCAGGGTGTAGGGTTTAGGGTTTAGGGTTTAGGGTTTAGGGTTTAGGGTTTGCTGGGTGTCTCCGCAGATGGAAGCTGCTGCTGCTGACAGCAGCAGAGTGGGAGGCCCTAGGAGACAGCTGCAGCAGCAGAGAAACCTTCCTAAGAGCTCGTCTTGCTGCTCTCTAGGGTTTTGTTCACTTCCTCTCAAACCCTAAACCCTAAACCCTAAACCCTTAACCCTAAACCCTAAACGGGAGCAACTACATCACCTAGGGTTTAGGACCTAGGGTTTAGGGTTTAGGGTTTAGAGGGGCGCACCCGCACTGGACCTGTCTCCTTACCAGGAGCGCCTTAGGGTTTAGGGTTTAGGGTTTAGCTCGAGGGTTTCTAAACTGTCTCCTGACGGCCAGGGCCCCTAGGGGGCCTCCAGGGGGCCCCCAGGGGGCCCCCAAGGGGGCCCCCAGGGGCCCCTGTGAACTACCATGGTAACCCTGAACAGTCTCTACATTTTTTTATTTATTTTGTCGTCTTTCTGTATCAACACAGATCCTTTGGGGGCCCCCCTAGACGCCTAAAATATACATAAACACAAATGGGGGCCCCCACATATGCTGTACCCCCCGGGGCCCCTGGGGGCCCCCAGGGGGGCCCCCGGGGGGGCCCGCAGAGGGGCCCCCAAAGGTACCTCCCGGGGGGCCCCCAGAGGGGCCCCTCGAAAGGTTTAAAGAGGGGCCCCCTGGGGGGCCCCCCAGGGGGCCCCTAGGGCGTTATAGTTTAGGAATATCGTGCTTGGTTTGTGTGTTTTTTGTATTTATTTATTTTTTGTTTTTTGTATTTATTTATTTGTTGTTTTTTTTGTATTTGTTTATTTGTTTTTAGATTGACGGTAGTGTATATAGAGTTTGTTTATTAGCGGCGGAGGAGAAGAAAGGGGGTTTAGTGTATCCTTTATGTATATATATATATATATATATATATATATATAC